CAAGGCCATATTATGTGTACACATTTGTCTCTAGGATGTCCTTGAAACCTTCAAGATTAATTCTGATACATGTCTACTGATAGAACAATCAACATGGGTACCAAAAAAGCTTGAAAAGGAGCATAAATAACATCACGAGCATTTGAAAATAACTCTAAAAATTACCCCAAAATTGAAAACAGAAAAAAATCAAATTATTTTATGAAGGAAACAAAGGAAATTATATTCTAGTAAACTAAGAAGTCAAAGGAGCCAGACTTGCCCTCTCCTGGCTGCTCAGAAGCAGAACAATGGGAGATGAACTCTTTAGGCACCTATCAATGTTTCTGCATAAACGGATTACACATAATTATTTGCATGCTTGCTTTTTCTCTATTTTCTCCCATCAAGAGAGGAGAAAGAATTTTGGTGTGGGTAAGATGTGGTAGAGAGTTTCTGTTCTTCCTGCAGCCAGTGGTGAAAGGAAAGTTAGGATTGCCTTGGACTGGGTTTGACTCTAATAAGGACAGGGGAAAGATTACAGAAAACACTGGGAGGAATTGTTTTCTGTAAGAATGTTTGTGTAGCGCTGAACACAAGCACTGTTTGTTTAGGCCCACAGGGCAGAAGAGCAACATCCTCCCCTCTTCAGTGGGAGCTGCACCCTATTCTGCCACTCTGAGGACTGGCATAGGGATGTTAAGGACATGGCTACTTTACATGACTATTCCTCGCCTCACAAGGGACATGAATGTCAGCCAACAACCACCAACAATCATATGAAGCCAAATAACAGGAAAAGATGATGTGTACACTACTTTGGCAGCACATATCATTTGTGTCTCAGAGATTCTAAAATTTAGAGAGATGTGGAAGAGCAGAAAAGAAGTTTTGCAGGAAAACTGCAATTCTAGCAGAAGCAAGTAGGAGTAATTACAGTAACCCTGGCTTGCTGCTGTTAATGGTTCTTCTTTTGAATTTACTAAGCTAAGGGAGCCAAGAAGACAAATGATATTAGGAAGACAAGCATCTGGCCTATATGGTTGGTACTCCAGAGAACTGGAAACAAGAAGCCCCACAGAGACTAGAGTACAATTCTGAGAATAGAATGTGATTTGGAAACTGGAAGAATCTGTTAAAATCCTGATAACTAGGTAATCTTATTGTCCCCTAACAGTAGGAGTTTGTAGATCCAATCTTAGAAACTTCATTATTGCCATTATTGACTCTACTTCTTCCCCTGTGTCTTTCAGCTTTGCATCAAACAAAGTGACTTGATAGCACATGGAAACTTAAAGAAACCTCTTAAAAATAGGCAATGGGAAATAATAGTTGTTGAGGCTGTTCACAGATGCTTCCACTCTTCTCTGAGCACAGGGCAGCATTTATTACATACTTACACCCACGATGACCACATAATCTGTTTGATAAAAGAAACATGAATGGATCTAACATGTCACATCCAGGCAGACATGTCCAGAATCCTTGCATAATTAAACATTTTCTTTTTCCTCTGTTGCAATGCAAACAGAACTACATGTTAAGATGGATTCTGCACCAGCCTATATCTCTGTTCTAAACAGCTACTTCAGATAAAACACATTGGGTTTATAACTTGAACACAAAATGAACTTTTATTAAACATCAGGTATTTGGAAGTTGTCTTCTCACCACAACATAACCTTTCTTATTTTGACTGATGTAGTGCTGACAGATATTAACTTGAGCCAATGAGTACTAAAGAGTTTTCCAAAACTATTCCTGAGGAACTCCCAGAAAAGAGGTGGGAGACAATGATGAGAAGTAGAAGAATGCATTTAGCATTGTGGTACAATGCATTAAGTCACCCTTGCCATGCCTACATCCCACATAAAAGCACTAGTTTTCATTTTTGGCTGCTCTGTTTCCCTTCCAGTTTCCTGCTAATGTGCACGAGAAAGTATCTCATGATGGCCAAAGTACTTGGGCACCTGCCACTTCGAAGGGAGATTTGGATGTCTGGATGGAGTTTCTGGCACAAGGCTACAGCCTGGATCAACACCAATGATTACAGTCACTGGAATGGAAGATTTTCATTCTCTCTCTTTCTCTCTCTATATCACTCTGTTTCTCCTCATAGCTCTCTCTACATACTGCTCTCTTTATCTTTCTCCTCTTTTTCCATCCCTTTTTCTTAATCATCATCACTCTTTCTAAATAAACATAAATACAGGAAATAAATCTTAAAAAAAAAAATAGTAGGAGAAGGGAACAAGCCTAAGATCCTACAAAAGTTAGGAAAGCCAGAGAAATTGTGTGTTAATGCTGACCAAATTCATATGTATCTTAAAAACATGGGATGTATTTACATCAGAAAATTTACTGAAAGCTTTTACAAAAAAAAACTGAGATAACACAGTATAAGGAATTTGTTTTTGGCATTTCAAAGGATTCTAAGTCTTTTCCTTTAACTCAAACTCAGCATGAATCTGACATGCTGCAAATTATATTTATAAAATAATAAACAGCTCCTTTATATAATAACTTTAGCATGATCTAACAGTTTAGATTCTCTTTACAGTATAGAGCACAGAGATGTAAATTTTTTAAGCACAATTCTGCATAAATAGATTCTGCATGGCACTGCCAAACTTGGATCTTGAAAGTGATAAAGTGCAGATGCCTACAGTTGCAATCATAAAAATGTAATTGCTGAGAAAAAATTATTTTTGATCCATTGGAGGAATTTATTACAGAGATGCGACTGTGTAAGTCATCATGCAAAGAAAATGAAAGTGAATGACTGAAATATATCCCAGGCTGAACATTCCTAAAAAATGACCTGGTGATTTACCTGTACCTGAGAGAAAAAAATAGATTAAAGCTAAATCAGGCTAGTAGAGGAGGACTGTGAAAACTATAAAAAGAGCAGAATAAAGATTTATGAATAAATAAATTTAGAAATCAGTGAGACATAATAGCATTTCTAATCAATTACTCCAAAAATGTAATTTTGACTTAATGATATACAGAGGTGGCAAGTAATTTCTGTGAAATCCTGAAAGCAAAGGGATATAATATAAGCAATATGCAAAGGTAAGAATTTGCTTAATGAGGTTACTAAAATAAAAAGTAACAAAGTGATTTGTTCATCACTTTAGAGTACAGACCTAATAGATCACTTTTAAATGATTTTAAATCATTTTTACAGTTCATTTTTACTTATGTATGTATGTATGTATGTATATATTTGAAAGGCAGAGTTACAGATGAAGAAGGAGAGAAAGAAAGAGATCTTTATGGGTTGGTTCACTCCCAAGAGCACTGGGTGAGTCCAAAGTCAGGAACTTTAGCTAGTCTCCTAGGTGAGCAGCAGGGGCCCAAGCACTTTTTTAGGCTATCTTCTGCTGCATTTTCCAGACCCTTATAAGGGAGCTGGATCTGAAGGGGATCAAGCAGGACTCAAACTGGCACCCATATGGGATAGCAGCCTTACAATCAATGGTTTAACTCACTATGCCACAACACTGGTCCCCAAGTTCATGAACTTCTATAGGAAATCAGACACTAAGTCTTATACTTAAGAGTGTATCTACTGATTGGTGAATGGATAAAGAAAATATATGTACATTACTTGTAAGAAGTAAAGGAAGGAAGGGGCTTTGTGCGAAAGCGTAATGGTTAAAGTCCTCGCCTTGAACATACCAGGATCCCATATAGGCACCGGTTCTAGTCCTGGCAGCTCCACTTCCCATCCAGCTCCCTGTTTGTGGCCTGAGAAGGCAGTCGAGGATGGTCCAAAGCCTTGGGACCCTGCACCTGCGTGGGAGACCTGGAGCAAGCTCCTGGCTCCTGGCTCGGATTGGCATGGCTCCAGCCATTGAGGCCGTTTGGGGAGTGAATCCTCGGACAGAAGATCTTCCTCTGTGCCTCTCCTCCTCTCTATATATCCACGTTTCCAATAAAAATAAATAAATCTTTAAAAAGAGGCAGGCAGGCAGGAAGGAAGGAAGGGAAGAAGAGAGAGAGAGAAAGAAAGAAAGCAAGAAAGAAAAGTAGATAGATAGATAGATGGATGAAGGAAGAAAGGAAGAAGTCTGGCCATTTGCCAACAGGGATAAACATAAAGAATATTCTGCTATCTTATGTCAAATAACCAAAGCACAGAAAGGTGAATATTATATGGCCTCACTTTACATGTGCAATTTTAAGAAGTCAAATTCATAGAAACAGCAAGTAAATGTAGTGGTTTAGAGGAACTATGGGTTTGAAGAAAAGAAACAGATGCTAATTAGATGAAATGAACCTATCCATTGGGAATCTAATATATGATATAGTAATAACTATAGTTAATACTACCATATTGTTTACTTAAAATTTAATTAAAATTTAATTAATTAGATTTTCAGTGTCTTCAACATGCATTTATGCACACAAAATGGAAGCTATGAGTGATGTATAAACCTGTAACAAGCATTACACAATGTATTCATATATCAGATCATCACATTTCATACATTGAAAATATATGATTATTACCTGCCAGTTAAATGGTGAAACAAAAACAAAAACTCTAAGAAAAAAAAGAACATGATAAAATATTTAACACTTCATCCTAGAAAAAAATCTTTAATGGGATCATTTTCTTCTTTTGACAGGCAAGCCATGGGTTCAAAATGACAGTTACAAGAAAGTTGGACATCAAATCCAAAAGGTCAGTTAGTTTATTAATAGTAATTCTTTGACTTTAAAGTGTAATGTTTTGGGAATCAAGATGGCAGAATAGGGTAAGGACGTGTTTAGACAGACAGAGAAACATTAGCTAGTGTGAAGCAGAGAAGGTACGTTCCAGGAAATATAAGAGGACAGAATGACAGCAGAAGGGTACCTGTAGACTGACAGACACAGCAAAGCAGCAGACACAACGGTGGGGTCTGAATTGCACAGGCAATCGGAACTCCACCAGCAATAAAGTGGGAAGGGGCATTCACTCAATACCCTTTGGCAGCTACTCAACATCATTATTTCCATGATATGAATACCTGGATTATGAGAGGCTCCAGCAGCTTTTCTACAGTGAATGTTTGGACCTGCAGATCCTGAGGGTCAATACTCAGCGTGATTGGTGTTTCAGTCGACATGCTTCCTGTGCACAAATACACCAAAAAAAATGGTTACAAATAAAACTACTTTATAGAGAATAGCTCCCAAGATGATTACATATTAGGTAAAACTAGTTTTAATACTCCTATATCAACTGTGCCCCTCAGAAACCTAGGGTATTGAATCTACCCCCAGGAAAGCAAGGTATTTCCGAGCCTTTCTGTCTTAAGTCCTTTAACAAATTATGCTAGTTAGTTTAAAATTAAATAACGCATCCCATGTGGGTTTGAATCTAATCAATAATCTTAACTGAAAAACCTAGCAGACTTGGTGAGAAGTCTTACATCATATAAGTCCTTGACTTAATGAAATAAATTACAGCAGTGAAACAGTCCATGCCTATCTTTCTCCTATTCTCATTGGTTATACCTTAGAAAAGCCATAAAAGACTTTGGAAGATATCTGATATGTCTCTACCTGTTTAAGACATTATTTATTTGGGGACTTTAATTGCAAAAGATGATGAGACGCAATTTGCTTTTCTGTACATGAAAAAAGATAACATAATTGGCATCATTAATATAAATATGAAAAGTATATAAAATTTATGCTATAAAGTTATAACATTATAATATTAAGCATGTAGTGTAAAATGTAAAACACATAATCTAAAAAGAGAGAATCCCCCCTCCCAAAAAGGCTTATTTCGAGAATAACAATCTGCATATACTCTTCCTCCTTGCTCTTAGTACGCAATAAAAGAAAAAGTATGTCAGGGGTCAGTGAATCAAAGAGAAACAGGCACCACCACGTTTACAGAAGCGCTGTTCACAATAGCCAAAATCTGGAGTCAATCACAGTGTCCATCCTGAGGTGAATGGATAAAGAAGACACGGTATGTATGCATAGCGGAATATTATTCAACCATGAGAAAGAAATTCTACCATAAGCAGCAAAATGGATGTAACTAGAGGACATGATATTAAGTGAAATAAACCAGACCCAGAAAAATAAACTCCACTTGTTCTCCCTTAGATGTTGGGGCTTATTTTTTTTAAAACAACCAAAAGAGCAAGAAAATCCAACTTACTGAGAATGGAATTGCTGGACCCTTGCGACCCATGGGTTAAAAACTTCCAGAAACATTAAAAAGTTAAAATACATCACCTTTCTCCAAATGCTTGGAGTCAGTTGGCTGTTTGTCCCCTGGCTTATTGTTTTTTGTTTATTCTATAATTACATTTGTGCTTTTTGTAAACAGTGATGGAACATACAAGAAAATCCAATCTTTCAAGAACGGTTCTACTTTTACTTGTTTCCTGGGGGGAACAGTTGATTTGCTTAAAATATTTAGGTGTTTTTAGAGTTATGAAATTGTGATACAGGGATTTGTGACTGAGGCATTCACATGTGAAAGATGATTTCACTAGTTCTCTGCTCAAGCAGAATACGTGTATATTACATAAAATATAATTAATATTAACACCATTCTGCAGTGCCTTTTAGATATCCCATTTTCTAGAAAGTCTTCAAATTTTTGCATATATATTACATATATGATGTAATGTTATAGAAATGTATGTATAATATACAATTTTTTCCAGGAGTATCTAAAGCTCTCTATTTTGTTGTGGAATTCAAAAGGAAAGAGTATTTTCTCTCACAATTTAAAGTTAAATAAAAAACTTTAAGAAAAAAAGCCTTTGTGTGTCAGTATCACTGCAAGTATAGTTCAAGCATAGTTTAGCAAAACTTTGTCTTATTTCTTTTTCAGACAAGTGGTTAAGAATGTCATAACACTACTTTTAATGACCTGTGATTACTTTGTGATTTACTGTGGATAAGTGAAGTGGTCATTTTTCTATTCAATCATTTTTATGTCATTGTATTCCCACTAAACTAAGGTCTTCATACTTTTTATTTGTTAAATTTGTTATTCAGTGAAGTACTAAGTATCTTACTGCAGTACTAAACTAAAATATGTTATCTGAAAAGTTAAATACACACACAAAGAAAGAGAAGAAAAAATAAAAGGGAAGAGTCAGCAGGGGAAAGAAGAGAATTTCATCTAATCTGGGGCCAGGGTAGTGGTGTTTCCAGCTAATCATCCACCTGTGGCTGCGGCATCCCATAAGGGCATTGCTTCATGCCCAGCGGCTTTACTGTCAATCCAGCATAGAACAGCTCAAATTTTGGGGCCGCTGCACAAAGTATAGAACCTAAAGGAGGCAAGGAGAAAGAAGCCAGGGGAAAAGAAGAGAATTTCATCTAATCTGGGGCCAGGGTAGTGGTGTTTCCAGCTAATCATCCACCTGTGGCTGATCTGCCTGTTTACTCCCAGATGGATGCAAGAGTCAGCGCTAGGCCAGACTGAAGCCAGGAACCGATATAGCTTCATCTAGGTCTCATACATGGGTGGGAGGAACAGGGGCCCAACAACTCGAGTCATCTGCTGCTGCTTTGCTAGGTCATTACCATGGAACTAGATCAGAAGCAAAGCCATTCAATTAGAACTGGCACTGGGTGGCGACTTTATCCACCATATCACAACACTGGTCTTTTTAAAAATAGCTTGTATGAATGAAAGATAAATGAAAAAGGATTCTAAGTGATTGGTCTGAAGAAGAAAAAATAGAGGAAATGGGGGAAAAATGCTAAGCTTTTCTGAATATATCTGGTTTTAGAGTTTTAGATTTGGACTCACATAGATGTATTATGTAATTTAAAAAAACTCATAAATCAATCCTGAAAAATCAAAGCAAACAAAATAAACTTTTTATTTCAGGTTAACTTCATAATTACAAAGAATTGAAAGATTTCAAATACCTTTAAAAGTTTTTCATTGTAATTTATTCTATAATGGATATACTATATTATACAATGACCATTACAGTTAAGCTATATTTACTATCATTAGGATTCATGAGGTTGTAATTGCATGCATCTGTATGTATACATCCATACTAATACACACATTATTATGGTAAAGAAAATAATTATATTCACTTATTCAGAAACAAGAGTTCAAATGAAAGATAAAAATACATAATTAAAAAATTCAAATTCAACCTTTAACCTCTTGTTTGTGCTGGAAATATCAGTATAACCTCATTTTTCCTAAAAAAAAGAAAAAGAAAGAAAAAAAAGAAAGAAATAACCTATTCTTGGCCCAGCATGATGGATCAGTAGATAAATCTCACCTTTCATGCACTAGCAACCCATATGTTCACCACTTCCTGTTCCAGCTGCTCCACTTCCACCCAGCTCCCCACTTGTGGCCTGGGAAAGCAATCAAGGACAGCCCAAACCTTCAGATCCTACACCCCCTGGGAGACCGGGAAGAAGCTCCTGGTTTCTGGGTTCGGATCAGCTCAGCTCTGGCCACTGCAGTTACTTGGAGAACAAGCCAGCACATGGATCTTTCTCTCTGTCTCTCCTTCTCTCTGTAAATCTGACTTTCCAATAAAAAAAGGAATGAATCTTAAAGATAATAATAATAAAAAGCCTATTTCCCAGTTCTGTTAACATACAATGGAGAGGCAACAGTTAAAACCTAATGGCACAGTGTTACTAATAACATTTCCCAACAAAAAGAATGAGGCTTCTTGGGAAAAGGCTGGTTTCACGTCTAGGCCAAGAAATAGACAAAATAAGCCTAAAACATCTTCTTGTTCCAGAAATAAACCCCACAGAGATTTTGTCAAAATTTTCTGTTGCTATTTAAAAGAGTTCTTGCTGACTGAAAAAAAAAAGGGGGGGGTGGGAAATTTGGACATTAAAAAAAAAAGCATAGCAACCATACAAGCTATGTGGACCTTGGATTTTGATTTAAAATTGTAACCATAAGACATTATAGTTTTTAACTGTTTAAAAGTAGACACAGACAAGTTATAAAGATTTATTTATTTTTATTGGAAAGTCAGATTTACAGAGAGGAGGGACAGAGAGATCTTTCTTCTGCTGGTTCATTCCACAGGCAGCCATAATGGGCAGAGCTGAGTCAATCCGAAGCCAGGAGCTGCTTCTGGATCTCCCAGGCAGGTGCAGGGTCCCAAGACTTTGGGCCATCTTCCACTGCATTCCCAGGCCACAAGCAGGATACTGGATAGAAGTGGAGCAGCTGGGACAAGAAGTGGTGACCATATGGAATCCCGGCACATGAAAGGTGAGGATTTAACTACTGAGCCATCACACCAGGCACATAACTGGATTTTTATATGCAAAACAGAAACCTTGGTCCAACTCCTCATATCTCAAACAAAAATTTACCTGAAATGGATCATAGTGCTAATGGTTAAGAACTAAAACGAATTTATAAAAGAAATCACAGTCGGAAAATATTTGCAACTTTGGGTTAGGCAAAGATTTCTTAGATGTTAACACCAAAGGCATGACATATATAAAGAGAAAATGATAAACTGGATCTTACCAAAACTTTAAAATTTTATTCTCTGAAAGATAGTGTCAAAATGAAAAGGTAAACCACAGACTGGAATGATTACTTTTTAGACACGTAACAGGTAAGTACTGTTATAGTTGGGTTTTTAAAACCCAAAACCTACCTGTTAAAGAGCTTGTATTTGGCAAACATAAATAATACTTAGAATTTAATAATTAAGAGAAAACAAAATGTTTTAAATGAACAATTTAAAAAGCAATTTCACTGAAGTAGATAGACAGTAAATAAGCACATAAAAAAGTCCTTGAGATCTGCACTGTGAAGTACTGAGGTAAGCTGCTACCTGCAACGCCAGCATCGTATGCAATGTGCCTGGGAAAGCAACAGAATATGACCCAATGCTTAGGTCCCAAACCCAAGTGGAATTTCTAGCTCCTGGCTTTGGTCCAGCATTGTGACTATTTGGGGGAATGAACCAGCCAGTGGAAGATCTCCAGTTCTGTCACTCAGCCTTTCACATGAAATGAAACAGGAGAACAAACAAAAGGAAAGAAGCAAGGAAAAAAGGGAAAGGAAGGATGGAGGGAGAGAGAAAGGAAGAAAGGAAGGAAGGAAGGAAATCTTTAAAAATAAACAGAAATATTTGACATCACAAGTCACTCAAGATATCCAAATTAAAGAGACAGTATATACTACTACATGCCTACTACATGGCTAAAGTTTAAAAGATTGCAAATACCAGACCCAGCAAACGTGAGAAACAACAGTAATCTCACACATTGCTCATGAAAGCACAGTGATATAGTCACTTTGGAAAAGAGCATGGCAGGGTCTTATATAAGTAAAATTATTCCTATCCTATAACCAAGCGATTCTACTCCAAGAAAAATGAAAGCACATTCACAGAGATCTACATGCAAATGTTAAGGGTGGTCTTACCCATAGAAGAAACAAACAACTCAAATTTTCTTCAACAGGTGAATGAATAAACAGCAATAATATCCAAAACTATTCAAGAAAAAATAACTTTCAATGAATAATAAATGAATATGAAAAGCATATGCTAAGTAAAACCTTAAGACATTAGTAAGTACACAATGCATAACCTATTTATACAACATTCTTGAAAGAATAAAAAATTTAGAAACAGAAAACATATTAGTAGTTGGTGGAAGCCAAAAGTAAATAACCAGGATTGATGGAGTGGCACAAGGAAACTTCATAAGGTAATAGTAGCATACTACGTGATTGTGGTACTGATGATTCCACAACTGCATACAATCGTGAGAACTCATGAAATAATACATTTTAAACATGTGAATTTAATGTAGAAAGTGTCTGTAAATAAAATTAATTTTTCACAAAAATTTTGTACAGTGTAGCACAGTGGGTTCAGCCACTACTTGGCACACTCACATCCCTTATCAGAGTGGTGCTAAGCCCAGCTGTTGCCCTCAGCTTGGCCCAGTCCAGACAATGACAGCCATTTACAGAATCAGTGAGTGGTTCTGTTCTTCTCTGCTTACCCACTTCTCTCTGTTTTTTGCATAAGCAAATATTCTTTTAAAATTTCTTTCCTATTCACCTCTTACCTAAGTGACAAAATATTTCTGCTATTTCATTTACTATGTAATTTCAAATTTCTATAGATATCCATTATCTCCCTTAGTTCTTCGAGTGGATTTCTCTCTAGTTCTCTGATTTAATGCTCTCAAAAGCTAAGTGGCTTTTTTCTCTTCTGTTTTTTTTTTTTTTTCTCTAGCTTTTTTTTTAAGTGTCTTGACTGCTTTGCTGTTAATATCGTTCAATGTATTTGGTGCCCAAGCCCTCCCTAATTACTTAATAATGTTTGCTTCCCAGGTTTCAAACATGGTGTCCAGGTTAGTCCTCTATGCTATCTCATCCATCACATCAGTTATTATTCATTTGATTCATATTTTTTTCCTGGAAAGCATTCTAACTCAATTCACATATTATGCTTACAGTAGGAAATTATCAAAACCAAATGTTGAATATTGTGTTTGGCTTTGTGCTCCCTTTCAATGTTAATCATTTCTTATTGGTATTATTGTTAACAATGAAATGGCTTTTAAAAGCCAAATGATTATCGCTGAGTCATATCACCATCTGACTACTAAATAAAAATGCACATGTGTTACATATCAAGTATGTTAAAATATGTTTTAACTAAAGATTCCTTAGCAAAATTTTGCTGTTACTCCCTTATCTTTTTCCAATGCTACTGTCTGACAGTAACATGTTTCTAAGCTGATTTACTTACACAAGCCCAGTTTAGCATAGTAAACGCTGAGAGACAAGACTCTTCAATCCAGTAGCTGTTTTGCAATGTTTGAAGATCAGAGTACATTACAAAGCAGACTCTGAATTCCTTCCTCCTTCCCAAAAACTTTTTCCCAGTTGGATTGACACAGTTAATTTTTGATCTAACGGAAATTCAAGTTAAAACTACTGCTAGATTGAAAGCATATTTTTAAAAGGAGCCAATCTCATTGACAATCTAATAGAAAAAAAACATAGGACTAGTATTCATAGATCCATACAGACTTGCTTTCTGATTGTATCTGAAGCACTAGCTTGAGCATATGTATTCTAACACGTACACATTGATCTCATATAGTAACTCTTGGATATCTCGCAAAAACCAAGCCTCTTTCTTATGAATTGTGTAACAAATATTTTTTTTTTTGCTCCTGGAAAACATGTGTCAACATTTATGCTCACATACAACAATTTGTGAATTAAAACGGTATCATTTCTCCACTGTTTTGCAAGTGACTTTTAAAGTGTATTTTTACAATCCAACAGATTCTTCTTCACTACCGACTGTCACAACGCAAGAGAGGCAGTTTGCATGAAATTCTCCCATAAGATTTCTGTAATTCTATATTTTTATTTCCAATCAACTCATAATACATCAGTGTCTTGAAATTTTAGTTGAGAATTGCTGTATTTTTGGGTTTTTGTCCTGTGTTCTGCTTTGTTCCTGGCTTTGTTTTATATCCTCACACTTATTTTTCTTCCTTCTTTCACTCTACATTTAATTTGTCCTATGTTGAATTTTGTGCAGCCTTGTAAGACACATTAAATCCTTTCTAGAACAAGGCAAGGAATAAATAAATCAGCATTCTATGTACCTGCAAAACCAATCACTTTTCATTTATCCTAGGCTCTGCCTTAAAACTTTAACCCCTTGGCATCTCTTAAACTTTTCTTTATGTATTGAGCATGCAAGAATCAAAACTCAGTAAGTTCTTTATGTTTCCATTGCCAATTCTCTGTAGAAACATGTAAGGCTAGCATACAAGAAACAGAAGAAAAATATCCATGCACAATTTATGTTTAGAAGCACAGAACAGAAATTAAACATTGCACAAATAAACTTGCTTGCTACACAACTTTTCTATGTAAAGCTTCCACTGCCTTGTGCAAAATTGCTTGAGCAGTAATAGCTCAATTACACATACGGAATTTTTAATGTTCTGATATTAGATTGCTGTAGATTGGATATTGGCAAATGAGAATTTGCTTCACATTAATTTTAAAACAACTAATAAATACTTCAAGTAGCAGAATAGAGCTTCTGTTCCAGTCTGACTGAGTTGTTGTGAAAAAGAGAGTAATGTGTAAGTCACATTTGTATCTAAGGCTGAAATGCCTGCTAATCTACTCAGAAAAGCAGACATGTTAACATTGGAACTTTAATAGCTTAGTGATACTAAAGATGATTTATAAAAGTAACAAATATACAACAGAGTTTCTACGTATCCCCTTTTATAATGTTCTTTCATTTCCCCCAAAGTTAACTAATGATAATCTCTAATTATCAGGATTTGCATTATAGCAAAGTTTCATTTTAAAAAGTTTGACACTCCACTCACCTACTCCAGGACACAGTATTGCCCATATACAGATACTAAGCAATTGCCTAAGCAATTTCTAGTGCTTAGAAATTCAGTGCCACTACTATGGCTCAGAATTTGGCTTATGATGCATCTGTAAGCAAACAGCCTGACAAGCACCCTAGTGTATTTCAGGATGACTGACAGGACACAGTGGCTCAAACAAGAAGGGGGGATGGGTACTCTTAAAGTAACACACCAAATGGAAAAAAAAAAAAAACAGAATTAGACTTAAAGTTGCATTTTCCAAATTTGCAATGAAATGATTATATATTATCTAACATTAATTTAAAATACAATTTGCATGTGCATAAATGAACCTAAAACTTTATATATTCCAAAGTGAACGACTTTCTAAAAGTACAAAAGAAAACATTTAAAACAGACAAGCAATATATTTCCTTGAAACTATCAAGCTTTTCAATTAATTAAGAATAGTGCAGTTCTATTTAACATAAATTAAAACAGTGTACTCAGGTAAAAATAGTTCCTAACACATTTTCAGACATTTGCCAAAAGCTCTTGGAACAGCAATTTAAAAATAACAATGACAGCAATTTAAATCTTTGATTAATCAAAATTATTGCTGAGAATAGAGGGAACATATCCATGTACTTTCCCCTATTATATTCCTTCCCTATAGCATACTTCCATAGTTTAAAAAGATTTAAAAATTTTAAAAATACCAGTTACAGATATTTCCGTTAGTTTCATTGCGGAAAACATTTAGATGATACACTGGCTTCATTCCTCACACTTTCATGACTTTTTTTGTACTATTTCATAGTACTCTGAACTGTTCAATCCTTCTATAATTAATATAACTATCAGCTCTATCAGTATATTTTTTTTTCAAAGTGCCAGTAATTTTTAAAAGCAATCCCTCTTTTAGGCAGCAGAGGGTGTCATTATATTATTCTGAAGGCCCATATCATTGCACCACTGACATTTCCTTTCATTCTCAGACCAGGAACCTATCTCAAATTTCTTTAGTAAAGGTAAAGCCTAGATCAATGTTAATATTTTTCATCTGTGACAAACTACTATTTCTTCAATGCACACCATCTGGTTCATCCTCTAAATGAAAAACACTAGAAGGCTAGGAAGTAGCATAATAGATTTTGCAGAACTTTTAGTTTTTCTGGGACAAAAACCAAGCAAAGAAAACCTGTACATGAAGCTTCCAAACTGCACTAGAAAACCCAAAACAAAATCTGGCCACAAATACAAAATAAAATCTGTATTCAAACTTACATAACATTTGTAAACAGTTTAACTTGTTTTGCCTGACATTTAATATTTGCTAATTTCCATTGTATATGAAAAACTACAGGCTAATTTTAAAATATAGCGTTCCTGTTACTACACAAGATTTTATTTCTTACAACCTTGCAGTAAGAATCTACAGGTTCTGTGTTTTTAAACTTCGTATGCACTCTGTTTGAGAAAGCTTTAAAATCAATTTATTTGATTTATTCTAAAACTAAAAATCTTACTATCTAATTAGCTAGTCATTAACTATAGCAAATTTATTTGAACTGTAAAGAAAATTCTTATGCTTCTCCAATGATGTTATTTCAAAAACAGCAAGTTTAATGAAGACAAAATAAATAAATCAAGTGGACCTAAAAGTTCAGAGTAATTGTTCTTCCTGCTCCCAAGTTTGTCACTAATGACAAAAACTTTTTTGCTAAAGTATTATATGTTCCAAAAAGAAAAATAACCATTCTCTTTCATGACTGTCATTGAAAATGGGAAATCACAGCTTCTCTCTCATTTGAAAGACAATTCTACCTCTGAACACAAAACAATTTTGGGAATTCTTCATTGAAATAATGTATTGTGGGGGTAGTTATTCAGCACAGAGATTGTTATACCCACATATCTAGGTTTGACCACCAGCTTCATTCCCAATTCCAGACTCCTGTTAACATACACCCTGACAGGCCGCAGATGATGGCTAAATACTCACAACTACGTGGATCCCTCAGAAAGAAATTCTCCCATATTCTATTTCTGTCTTCTGTCTGCCTCACTTTCTCTCTCAAATGAACTAAATCATTTTTAAAGAACAAAATTTCTCGAAAATTATTTCTTAGTATAGCAACTTTTTATCATCATGAATCACATGTTTTATTAAATGCCTTTACTTCTTTTTTTCAGTTTTAATATATTTTTATTTTGAATTTTGAATTATGTGGTACAATTTCATATAGGCTGGGATTCCCCCCCAAACTCTCACACCCCCCATTAGATTATTCCCATTTTGTTACAACAGTGTAGACCTTCATAAGAAATCATAATTCTATCAGTCTCTTATTTAAGTGTACCCCAACATTGTTGTAACAATGTCAGACAGTCCAGCATCCCATTGTCTACTCATGTCCAACAATTTCATTGAGATCCATCTTTCATCTGGAAGCAGGGATACATGTTCAATATGGCAACTTCTTTCCTCATGTAATAACTAACAATAGCTAGGTTTTAAAAATCATATTATATAATAGGAAATAAAACGTAACACTTCTCCAACTACTACTAATTCCTTTATAAATCTTATTCTTCTCAAATTAGCTTAATAATCATCTACATATTTTGCATACAAACAACCAATATTTTTTGTTTTCATCCAACCACCTCATTCTATGTTACTTCCCAACTGAGTTTGGTTGCTGTTTCCGGCTCTCCTGAACTATGCCTCCCTCAGCAGTTTTTAGTTCTCCCAAGTTCCTTAAGAACATACATCTAAGGTTGTATTCGTCTCAATTTTATTTGTATTTTTTTAAAAAAAAATGCTTTGTAATCATAATATTTAAGGGAGGAGAGAGATTTGAATGGCTAAAGGATAAGGAGAAAAATCAAACCTAGGGATAAAGAAATGACAACCACTCATCTGTGCTAGACCAAATTTTTTAAAGATCTATTTCACTGTTATTTGAAAGGCAGAGTTACACAGGGAGGGAAAGACAGATCTTTCATCCATTGGCTCACTCCTCAAAAGGCCACAACAGTCAGGACAGAGTCAATCCAAAGCCAAGAACCAAGAGCTTCTTCCGGGTCTCTCACATGAGTGCAGGAACCCAAGGACTTGAGCCACATTTCGATGTTTTTCCATGCCATAAGCAGGAAGCTGGCTCAAAAGTAGAGCAGCCAGGACTCAAACCAGCATCCATAGGGAACACCAGCACCATAGGCAGAACCTTGGCTTACTGCGCCACAGCACCAGTGCTTACCTTAACTCTTCATATTAAATGAACTTTCCCAAGATTAATCACCGAGGTTTATAAGACAGACAAAGGACAGTACCTCGCAAACACTAGTGTGAGATGCAGGAAAAGTTATTAAAAGAAGAGTAAGAAACACAAGATAAACTTGGTTCAAGTTACAACTCAATCCTTTACTTACTCCATTTTACTCATATTGCAAAATAGGTTCTTGTAGAGCTGGCACAAAGAATAACTGCTTATATAATTACACATAAAATTTAATAGGGTTTCAATTAATTATTCATTAACCAATTATTATTTCATAGAAAAATACTCTTCTCTGCAGAATTTTGCTTTTCCAAACCAAGCTTCAGAGAGCTTCTGTAAGAGAGTCCAAAAGGACTGTCCATCTGTTTTGGGGTAAGTACAGGGTAAGGCATTTGGTGCAGCAGTTAAGATGCACACAATCCCACATTGGAGTGCCTGAGTTTGAGTTCTGAATCTATTCATTCCAGGTTCCTGCTAATGAGCATCCTTAGAGATGGCAGGTTATCACCTGTAAAGTGGTTGGGTTCCTGCCACCTACCTGGAAGACTCACATGAGTTCTAGGCTTCCAGTTTCAGCCTGGCCCAGCCCCAACCATTGTGGGGATTTAGGGAATGAAACAGTGGATGACAGTCCTCTGTCTGTCTCTCAGATAAATAAATAATAAATAACAAAAATGGATAAAAAGTTAGTAAGGTCACACACTTCTGTCTAGCTAACTGAATTCATTTCGTTAAAGGATATCATCTATACCATCCACAATGAAAATTTACAACTAGAAAATGCAGATACAAGATCCTAAAATAGAAGAGCTTTAGAGCTGCTTCCAAAGTTGCAATAAGCATTTAATTGAGAAAATTAAAAGCATATTAACACATATTAGTGACTTATATATTGGACTAGACATAGGGTAAAGGATAAAATATTAACCTGAAATTTACAAAAATAAAACTAAGTTAAAAAAATAGAAACCTCTGAGTCTTGTTCCCACATAGGACTTATGGAGTTGTGCCAACCTGCTTCATTCTTGAGCAGAGAAACATTCTTCAGCTGAAGCTATATTAGAGAGGGAGGGAGGAAGTTCTGTCTCCCACACTGTTTCCAATGTTGATACACTTAATACCAAGCAACTTGTGTCAGCCACTAGTCCTCTGACAGTCAAGGCCACTGATCTTACACTAAAACACAGTACAAATACAGATTCAAAAACAGGGAAAATCGACTGGCCAAAAAAATCACAATATCCCTAAATTATCCAAAAATAACTACTATACTAAATATAAACCATAACAACATTCCCATCAAGCCTCCAATCTTAATTTCTTTTAAAAAAAAAAAAAGGAAAAAATGAAGCTTACCAAAAATAGTCCTAAATGTCATTAATCATATATTTAGTCTACTTTGAATAACCCTGCCCATAAATTCACAACCACACACACACACACACACACACACACACCCCTCAAGCTAACCTCCTTTTGTCATCATAAATTTTGGGTGCACAGAATTATTACACTGGCACTCATTCCCTCAGTTTTAGGCATACAAGCAGAACTAGCTCATGAAAAGCCTGTTCTGTCTTCAAATTCTGTAATCCCCATCCTGATGCTATCTTCCTCACCCCTTCTTAAAGTAGCCAATGTGCCTTTCTAACCAACATACCATAAGTAACTGTACATATGATATATATTTCTATAGTAATGCATAGCTTTGTGTGTAAATTTTTACACTTACATGAACTATTATTATATTTCCCATCTCTTTCCACTTTTCCCTATTCAACACCATGTTTTTAGTTTGTTCATGC